TTACTGTGAAATTTAATAAGAGACAGCCATAAGAAGTTCTGTTTTGAAATCCAAATAGTAAGGATAAAATGTATTAATATCAGTTACCTAATCTTTTCTGTCTATGACACACACAGATGCTTTTTAGTGGCATTAATAATAGTTCCCATGTGTACTGTGCTTCAATACTACTACTATGACCACTATTATCACCAATAGTAATAATTAAAATAGCGATGATGATATAAAAACATTAAGATTTGTATTAGATTTGTGTTGTAATCCTAACTATTCCACTTTTTAGCTGTGTACTAGTCATTTCAAGTTTATGCACCTCAATTTTCCCAACTGTAAAATGGGGATAATAATATATACTAATAAAATGAAATTTCATATACAAAAATATACATATCAATTATGTAAATATAATTGTTATATATGTTGTATGCAACATATTACATACAAAGTGTGCTATCTATATGTGATTAATAACACTATTTGTATGTTCATTTCAAACCCGCTGCTTTCAAGCAGTTTAGAATAGCCTTATGTTGGTATTTATAGGCTCATCTTTTGAACAATCAACATTACCGCTATTACTAGTAAGAGGTAAACAGTAGGTCAATTAAATAGAAGTTACATAAAAACTTAGGCATAAAAAGGACTGGACTCTGTCTTTAAGGGAATTAAGAGCCTGTTAAATGCCTCTGGAAAGCTATTTAAAGCTGCCTGAAAGCAGAAGGTTTGAAATCAACATAAAGAATGCTGTCTTATGGACTGAATGATTCTGTTTTACCCTTGAAGATATGTGGCCCACCCCCTTGAGCTACTCCCCCTCCCCAAAGGAGACAGAACTGACCCCCAGGAAATGGATAGAAGTCACCCCAAAAAGTGAACAAAAGAGGTGTTTGGGAAGCGGACTACCATTCATCGCAGCTAACGACGTGTTCATTATGAGTGATGATGGATAAAGACTTCTCATGCTGGGATGAAATCAAGATTTATATGCATTGTTTCCTCTCCCAACTTGTGGGAAGATCATCATCATTTAATTCTATCTCTGCGGCCAGTGATGGGCATCCAGAGAGCTGGTTATCAAACGGCGCAGTCAGCTGGCAAAAGCCGAAACGTGCAGTTGGCACATCTGGACCGAGCTGCCACAGCCGAGGGTGAACAATGACTCCTGGCACGTAGCCAAATTGCTTGCAGACGCTAGCAGGTCTCATCTACAACCGCCCCTACCAGCATCTTTCTCTCTCTCTCTCTTTTATGAGAATCAGAATTTCACTGCTTCATTCAACTGCTCTCTTCTGCCATTTTTTACAGCTCTTATCGTTCCCCTCGAATATAGCCTTGAGACAGCTCATCCGTGTCCTTCACTGTGTTATCTCTTCCAACTTTTATTAAAACTTCAGCTTTCATCTGAAGATAGCTAATTAAATCTGGAACAAATTATATGCCCCCTTTAAAAATAGCACTAAACTATTTTCTCCAACCAGAAAACTGCTTATTTTCTCTTCCTTTAGATGAAACGAAGGATGCGGAAGAAGGCCTCATGCATTTCTAAAGGCAAGAAATTTGACACTTCATATATAGGTAGATGGCTATTAAAGTTGCCTGCAGCATGACAAATATTAGATTTGCTCACAATAATTATTTCTCGATACTGACAAGATTTCCTGGTCTCATACCTATTGAACATACCACTGATGTGACTAAGTACTCATTCTCTGCCTCCACTTTACTCTCCTCTGAACTGCAGATACTATAAAATGGGGATAATACCACCTGCTTAATCTGATAAAAATACATGCTTATATGTCAATTTAAGACTTTTAAAGTGCTTTACATATACTACCGTATGCCCCCCCCCCCCATACACAGAGTTGGGTAATAGTAATAGTTATAACATTTGTTTCCATTGTGTGCATTAACCTAAGCAATTTTAGGTTGGCAATATAAAGGCAAGCTGATGTAATGGAAAAAAGACCATACTGTAATTCAGGAGAACTGCATGTAAATCTTAGCATCATAATTAAGTGCCTGGGTGAGCTTAGCAAAGTTGCTGCCCCTTTTTGAGCCTCTACCTTCTCAAATAGAAAATATATATTTCCCATCTGACACTAATTCAGTTCAAGTATTTATAAATTTATTAAACACCTACTGTACACAAAGCAGGTAGGTGGCGCAGTGGAGTGCTGGGCCTAGAGTCAGGAAGACTCATCTTCCTGAGTTCAAATCTGGCCTCAGACATGTACTAGCTGTAAGACCCTGAGCAAATTACTTAATCCTATTTGCCTCAGTTGTTCATCTATAAAATGAGCTGGAGGAGGAAATGGTAAACCACTCTAGTATCTGTCAGGAAGACCCCAAAAGGGGTCACAGGGAGTCAGACACGACTGAAGAAATGACTTAACAATAACAGACACAAAGTATTTGACATACAAAAATTAATAACAACAACTAGGATTTATATGGTGCTTTAAGGCTTTTAAAGTACTTTACACATGTTAACTCATTTGATCCTCACAACAACTCACAATTATGCAGCACTTTAAAGTTTACAGTTTGCCTTATATCAATTCTTATGAGGTAGGTACTTCAAATATTATTATCCTCATTTCACAGATGAGGAAACTGAAGTTTGGGTTGTCTCTGAACCCTGTCCTAATTCCAAGTCCAGTGTTCTATTATAATACTGACCTCAAGTTGCTCCCAAGCTCATGGGCTTAAAGCCATGGACACAAATAACTGTAAGAAAAGGGAGAACGAGATAAATGCAGAGGCAAAGTCTAGGCAAAACTGTGTGAAAATGGAGAAGATAAATCGCTTCCTCCGGGGGTGAGGTGTGAAGACTCCCAATACTTGTACCATTTCACTTTGTAGCATCAGAGCTGGACCTGGAAGGAAGGGATTGCTACAATGGAGGGTGGTGGCTTGACCACAGGCATGGAGATAGGAGAGGGAAAGCTGTGAAGGTACCAAAAGGCTATTTCTTTAAATAAAGAGAAAAGTAATTTGCCATTGTGTTCTGCCTCAACTATAACAAGACACACCATGGTGTTCATTTTTTGAGAAGGCTTCTATACACTCCAATTCCCTCAAAGTTTTTATTTGAAGTGCCTCTCTGGTGAGGTGATAACCCTGGGGGGCTCAACAGCAACAGAGGCAGAGCACCAGCCTTGACAGACTCTGACAGGCTAGACGGGCTGTGTGGATAGGTCTGATGATTAGCGGTATGCCTGCTGTCCAGGCATGAGCCTGGCTACGTCGCAGGGAGGATAATGATGTTTTAGCCACAGTAAAGACCACTCTTGAAGACCACCTATGAGGTTGTAAAGGGGCTGCCATCTGTGTTGGTAGAGGGTGCACCCACAGTGTCAATGTACAGATCCTTGAAGTTCTGAAGGAGTATTTCCTCACAGTAATTTATGTCAAAACAGAATGAATGTTGCGTATGAGGCTCTCTCTGTACTGTTTTTGGGGTACCCAGCTCAAAGCACCTCCACTTCTTCACTGCAGATACTCCCCGAGCTGATATATGCCAATGAACTGCTTTCCTTCTTCCATGAGGGGAGCGTGGGAATGGGCCCGCTATATGTCAGGCATTGTGTTCAGTGCTTTACAAATATTATCTCATTTGAGATCATCTGAGGATCTATGGCAGTGCAGAAGGGCTTTATGTCATATGCTATCCCATGACTGATAAAGAATTCCTTCACCTAATGTTTCTTTGAGGGGGTGGCATGGCATAGTAGAGAAAATGATTTCTGTGGAGGTCAGGAGACCTGGGTGAGAATCTGAGTACTGTTACTCAGTTGACCCAAAATCTGGAGAAGAGGTCACACAACTCTATGAGACGGGTACTTTGAGTATTATTATTCCCATTTTAAAGCTGAGCAAACTGAGACTTTAGTTGTCTCTGAACCCTGTCCTGATTCCAAGAGTAGTGCTCTATCCATGACATGATACCGACTGGGGTTATCACTTATAATGATAACACCTAACATTTCTACAGTGCAACAACCAGTGAAACAATACAAGCACTGTCCCTTCATCATGTCTGCGGTTCACAGCAGGAGAATTATTTGCTCAAGGATCCATCATTCAAAAGGCAGGAGTTGGTATTCTAATGGAGGTCTTCTACCTCCAATTTCATAGCTCTTTCCACTAAACCACTTCTCTCCAAACCTTAGTTTCCTCAGCTGTAAAATGAGGATTATTATCCTTGAACTAATCTACCTTTCAAAGATTCAAGCACTTTGTAAACTTCAAAGGTTTTACAGCAATATATCATGATTGTTATTATTTTAATACTTCTCTGACCAACATAACTTCAAAACAATATCATTAAGACAATCACATTATAGCCAAATGCCACTATGCCATTGGAAAACTGCACTGTACCATCATCAGGTTAACTATCTAAGATGTGAACGAAATGGTCTTCATTAGGGAACAAATTGCTTATTGTTGGCAATAATCTTTAGCCTCATGTTCTGTTTTTGCAGAACCAGTTCATAGCATGACAGGATTTCAGAGTTGGAAAAAAATTCCATGATCATCTCATCTAGAGAGTATTAACCTTTTTTGTGTCATTGGAGCCTTTGGCTTTCTAGTGAAGCCTATAGACCCTTTCTCAGAATAATGTTTATAAATGTGCAAAATAGAATACGTAGGATAGCAAAGGAAGCCAATGATATTGAAATATATTATCAAAATGTAAAGAAAGCAAGTTAACAGATCCTGATTTAGTCCAACTATGTCATTATACAGATGAGGAAACTAAGGTTCATCAAGGGGAAATGACTTGCCCAAAGTCAAACGGAATGAAAGGCCAAGCTAGTATTCAAACCTGGGTCTTCAAGGGTAGGGTATGAAGGCACTATCTGGGGATTTATCTTGAAAGTAACTAAAAATGAGGAACACCAACTCCTGCTAACACCTCCCACCCCCAAAAAAAAGTGTTTAAAATTTCAGACTAAAACTTTAGTCTTCAGAGAAACTATTTACTGTCCCACCTGAACCCCTCTGAGAGCCTTTCCTCCGCTTCAGTGCCTTCTGTAAGATGTCCTTCATGGTGACCTTCGTACTGTCCACCTGAATAAGGGAGAATCCATGAGCAGCATTTCTGTAAGAGAAAAGACAGATATTAAATGATCACCAACATTCATCCAGAGAAATTTTATTGCCTTCTTCAATGTGGTTTAAGAGCGTTTTAAGAAAAAGGGCCAATAAACTCGAAATTGATCAAGTCAACAACTAAGAGCAAAAAGGAAGAAATGGCATTATTGTACTTGCTGCTGACCATGGGACAGGGGTCAAGAAATAGGCCTTTTTTGTCATTCATCTCAAATTAAGCCTCCCTGGTATGCTGGTTGCTGGTGGACACAGGCTTCTGATGCTAGTTCACAGGAGAAATTCTCCAGCTGGGGGCTGACAATAGATGAGTTCTGTTTGTGTCAGTAGATGTCACTGCAGACAGTTACTGCCATCATATTAAGGATCATGGGGCCCCAGAGGAAAGAGGTTGAGCAATGCAGGAAAAAAAAATTATTCTCCAAAGCAATTTAGACACCCAGTGGAGGGAAGATTCTTTTTAATGGGGTAGTCAATATTTTTAAAGATATTGGCAATGTTCACAGACTCCACAGTAGAAAGATTCTTTGACTTTTTCCCCTTTTGCAACATTCATGTCTAGTAAGTTACAAAGTCATATTGATTTTACCTATGCAACATCTTCTCTCTATCCTCACTACCATCAGTTAGTACAGTTTCCTTTTTACTACCTGCCTGGTGAAGTGGGAAAAAAAAACAGTAAATCAGAGGACATGAGTTCAAATCTTAGTTCTGCTACTCATGATGTGAGTTTGGGCAAAGCAAGCTCTGGATTTCAGGGTCCTTATCCATAAAATAAAGGGGGTTGGACTATAGGATTTCCAAGTCCCTTCTATCTCTAATTCTATGATCTCTGAGGCAGTTTAGTATAACAGGAAGAACAAGAGTTTTGGAGCCAGTGGACCTGGGTTTAAATCCCAGGTCTGAAATGTACATAAAAGCTGTGTGGCCTTGGTCAGATCATTTCACTTTTCTGGCCCTATCTGTATAGGACATTGAACCTCAGAGGTTGCTTCTAGCTCTAAATACTATAACCCTATCACAACTGGAACAGCCCTTTCATGCATCTTTCCTGTCCCTTCTTTCTCATTCCTTCAATTCTTTCCTTTACTTGCTGCCAGACTAACTTTCCTTAAGCACAGAGCTGGTCATGTCACTCCACTGCTTAAAAACCATCAATGACTCCTTGCTGCCCTCCTAGTAGCTGGGTGACCACAGGGAAATCACAAACTCCCTGAACCTCAGTTGTATTATTTATACTGTTGTAAGTTGTGAGGAAATCTAAATCTTAAACAACATTTAATTATTGTGTGGTTGTTACTTAATAAATATATAAACACCTGATCATGGCCATCAAGAGCCTGAGAACCTTGGCATGACAATGCTCGTCTAGTTTTAGGTTATGTAAATCTTCTCCACATAATTCACACTGAAGTCAAACCAAACTTTGCTGGCAGCTGGTTGTGTAATGGGTAGAGTTCTGGGCCTAGTCCGGAAGACCTGAGTTCAAACCCAGTCTCACACATTTAGCTGTGTGACTCTAGGCAAATCACTTAACCTCTTTTTGCTTCAGTTTCCTCCTGTGTAAAATGGAGATCATAATAGTGCCAACCTCGCCGGGGGGAATCATTGATGTGTAATATTTGTAAACTGCTTAGCATGGTGCCTGACACATAGTAGGCACTTAATAAATTGTTTCTTCCTGTCATCTATTCATACCCTACATTTGTCAGTTTCTGTTAACTTTGCTTATACTTTCCTTAGCCCTCTCTTCTGCCTGTTGAATTCTTACTTCCTTTCAAGCCTGATTAAAATGCTACCTAATCCATGAAGCTTTCCCTAATCTGTCCAGTTGTTAATAACCTTTCTTCCTTGGATCCCACACAACACTTTGCCTGTACCTCTCTTGCCTTTACCATCTATTATTTTGCACTAGTTATCTAGGTGTCATCCCCCACTAGATTATAAGCCCCATGAAGGCTGAGAGTCCCCCAGTGCCTAGCACAATATTTTAAAGATATACAATAGATGCCTTATATGTATATGTGGACCAGAACTTATTTAGAAGAAATCAAAATATTAAAGAATACTGAAGCATCTTTTAGGTTAAATTTCAGTTTCATATGTTCACCTAAGTACCAAAAAAGAAAAAAAAATGAAGCAGAATAGGAAAGGGTCTGGGCATGAGATTTCATCAATCTAGGACATTCTCTACATTAATGGAAGTCAACACCTTCTCTGCAACTTAGTCTTAGAGATCTACTGGGGCACTGAGAAGTTAAGTGACTTGCCCAAAGTCACAGAATCTGTATGTATCAAAAGCAGGACACAGAGCTGGTATGGACCTTAGAGATTTTCTAGTGCAACCACTTAACTTATATATGAAGAAACATTTGCGCGCGCGCACGCACACACACACACAGAAGCAGAAGTTGTCAATTCATCATATAGCCAAGATGTGAGAGACCTAGGTCAAGAACCTCTCTGATTAAAGTGTCTGTACTCCTGGTCCAATGATGTTTTCATCATACCACGCTTCTTCCTGTTCCATTACATCCTAGCATTGAAGAGTCAAATAGAACAATTCTGAATGGCCTCTGTTAGAAGACAAAGTTTTCACCTAAGAACACCGGAATGACTATTTGTGAGTGTTCAGACACTATAAAGAATTTGGTAAGAACTCCACTTTTGCACAAGAATCCCGAAGGGGAAAATGACAACAGCTCATATTTCTAATGCATTTCAATGAAGGAAAGAATTCCGATTTTTTCAGTCCATCAATGGGTCAAAACTTTGTTTTTTGCCACCTTTAACCATTCCCACCTTCGCCACCCTGTTCTAAGATGGCCAGATGAGAACAAGATTTTCCAGTTACATGAGAATGAATCAGGGCGTTCACAATCTTGAACCAAGCTGAGTAGCTCAACACTGATGACCCAATTTGTTTTGCCAATATCAAGCCATATCCTCCCCCTCCCCTGTAAAGGCCTGCTGTTTACTATGTGATATTTCATTTGTTCAAAGGCAAAAGCTGGGGTTGATCTGGCAGGCATTTTTATCCATTTTAACTTGGTCAACTTCTTCCTATTGAGCAGCTGGCTTAAGAGCTGTCAAGCTAATTTTACTGAATGCTCTGTTACTAGATCAGGCCTGAGCCACAGCCATTCTTTACCTCAGAAGCTGGAGCCCATCCCAGAACAATCTTTAAAAGTTTATTTTACTGATCAAAGCAAAATGAGGAAAAGCTCTTCATTTTCCTATATTTAGTGAGCATTTCAGTAAGTGATACTTTGGCAAGAGGACTGAAATGTAAAGTACCCTCCACATTTATAAACTGGTGGACATTTGCTTTGGAATGGGGCCAGGACATGTCTGGAGTGAATGCCAATCATCTGAGTTTTGACTTACTAGGCCTTCATTGCTTGGTTTTGTTTTTATAAGTTAGCAAGTTTCCCATCTGTAACAATATGATTGGGGATGTGTTCTGAATGCACAAGCAGATGGATGCCAATGATTTGAAGCATTCTAGGGACAGTTCTGAGGACTGCACACCTTGCATGGAAGGCTAGTGTCCAGACTGAGGGAGGGGATAGCAATTCTGCTACCCAATGTAAGAGTAAATAGAAGACTACATCTGGAATGTCCTGTTCTGGGTTCCACATTTTAGGAAGGCTAAGATGAAGCATATCAAGAAGCTGGCCAGGATGGTAAAGGGACTTAATATCATGCTATGAAGATCAGATGAAGAAATGGGCAATCTTTATCCTGGAGAAGAGAAGTCTTGGTACTGAGGAAATATGACTACTGTCTCTGAATATCTGAAAAGCTGTAAGGTAGAAGAAGGACTGGATTTATTCTGTATGACCTTGAAAGGCAGAAGTGAGAGAAATCAGAGGAAGTTACAAGGAGGTTGTTTTCCAATTCATATAAGGATCCTATGTGTCTTGAGAATGGAACATACTTCCTTAGGAAGCAGTGAGCTTCCAATCTCCAGAGGTAATAAAGCAGAATCTGGATAACTCCTTGCCAGGAGGCAATTCATACTTAAGATGAGATTTTGAATAGCTGACTGCTAAGGTTCTGATTCCAGCAGTTTATAATTCTATATATTCTCACTGTAACTGGACAAGTTTTAATTCAGATAATTAATTATGTAAAGATATATGTCACTGAAAAAGGAGGTGAGGCAATTCATGTAGGAAGGGTGAGAGACAATAGATAGACTAGGTGAGGTGCGACATTTGTTACCTCAAGGGGGAATATGGTATGGCAGAGCAGTTCAGTGGAAAGACCACTGAATTTGGAGTCAGTAGACACAAGTTTGCATTCCAGCTGTGTGATCTCTGTTGAGTCATTTGCCTTCTTTGGTCCTCAGTTGCCTCATCTGTAAAATGAGGGGGGCAAACTAGATGATCTCTAAGGGCTTTTCAGCTCTAAATCCTATGAGGCATAGTACGTAAATTATAAACATCTTAGCCTTAGTTGCATCTGGCAGATCGTATTATTTTAGGGAACAATAGCTTTATCCTTATTTGTAAAAACCCTCAAAAGGATACCTTCTGTTTAGTTCAAATTTCCACAAATTAAAAAGGTCCTTTAAAGTGAGCTTTTGAATAGAAGAAGATCACTGATCTCTATTTTTTTTCTGTCATTTTACCAAAACCTACCTGGGTGACAAGGTTAAAGAAAGGCCCGGAAATGCTGGGCACTTATCATCCACAGGCATTCCTGATAAATTGTGCAGTGGAGGAATAAAGGATCACCTTCTGTATTTTTTCATTACACTTTTCTTTTGTTACAGAATACATAAATCCATTGTGGCACAATGTAATATGTATCATCGTGCTACACCTGCGGACGCTTCCGAGCGGCTGCCATGTCTGTATAGTCAGGAATGATAAGTGAACCGCCCGTGAATGTTAATGATAGTGATCATTCTGAGGTAACTTGGCTTTCCATCTTCCTTTACAGCCTCTGCGCTGAAGCCAAGGGAGCAAGGTTCACGAGAGGAGA